TCCCTAGTCATTATCCAACTCTCTGATGCATAACAAGTGATTGCAAAGACCAGGCCTGTATCGGGCGCACCTTAGTCTCCAGAGAGACACCGTTGCTCTTGAGTACTTAGAGAGGTCCCTAACAGCAGACTTTCCCATCGCAATACGTTTTTTGATTTTCTGGTTGCTGGTGCCAAGAGTGTTGACCATGGAGCCAAGGTTTACATAATGCATAATATTTCATTGTACTTGGTTGGCATCATTATAAAAACTTGGGAGGCTCAAGATTTAATTCAAGGGAAGGTTTTTTCAGACAATCTGTTTTATTAGCTGCCAAATAAGTAAATAATCATTTTGATTTCTTTTACTTACCTCTTTTTAAGGAATATGCAGCTACTGTCAGGAAGATGGTACGCTCTGGAAATATCAACAACATGAAGGATAAACTGAAAATTGATTTACATCGTAAGTAGTTAAAATTAATTCAGGATGCACTGAACAGTAATTTATTAAGGAATTTCTTGCTATATGCCAGACATTAGATGCTAAAGATGTAAAGAATAAAATATGATCTCCACCTTTATTGACTCACAATTTCGAGACCCTTCAGTCCCTCTTATTTCTACACTTAACAGTAAAGTCTATAAGAATTTTGTGACTTTAGGGTAATTATCACACTGTATATAAGGAAGAACTTGGGGTCAACTGCTACGTTTTCATACTGCTGATTGCCTCCTGTATCTATAAACTTGGTGATTTCCAAGGCAATGACAAATCTATATATTAGTCTTTGTTTACAAAGATGAAGTAAGTTTCTGTCCTTTAAATAATATTCACGAGGTTTTATAAATACAAAGAAGTATATACAGAAAACGCAAAAAATGACCTATAATTAATACTCCTCAGTTAACCTCTGTTTAAAAAAAACTCACCAAAACAAGGTCATACAAGTTCATGATTAGAAAATTCAGATTAGAAGTTTCAAAAGAAGTAACAACTGTCCTTCCACATAGTGCCCCAATCTCAGTGCCAAGTTAAATTCTATTAGACACTTTTTGTGTGTATTTCCTTACAGGCAAAGTTTTATGGCTATTACCATCAAATTTAATAATTTCTATCTAAATGAATTTATACACATGTTAAACAGAGTTCTGCATTTCCCCCTTAATATTAGAAAGTTACATCCTCTTGTCTTTAAAGATATTCATGTTCAAAAAAATTTTTTAAAAGGCATTCATGTTTAAGACATCTGGGTAGTATTTAGAGTTCGGTATTTGGTAATTGTATAGCATTTTATCTTTGATGCTAGCTAGAAATTTTAACCTGAAACTGAGTTATACCTTTGAAAAGTCACTCCTTACTCACCTTCTTTGACATATATGTATATGACACAACTGAATGTTTCTAATGGTTTTGAAAAATTAGTTGATTTGCATTAATGAGATTTTCCTCTAAGAATAAAAAGGAAACATTTACTGCGTCACATGTATTTAGTTCACAGTAACAAGCCAGAAATTTTGCTACTGTCCCTGGGTTATGAAGTCCCAATTTAGCTGGTATCCTTAGCTATGAACCAATTCCTATAGACCTATTATATTTTAAAAAATTGAGACATAGATGACAATGGTTTGTAATAATAAACAGGCCTTACTTTGCGATGTGCATCAAATCCTTATTCTTCTTGCTATAATAAGTTAAAGATGTTTTAGTGTTCTTAGAAGTGTTTCAGGGTGCAACAATGAATGAATGGAATCCCAAAATCTCTGTAGATGTTCATGAAATGAAAAATAAACAACCTAAATTAAAAAAAAAGACTCCAACAACAAAAAAGAAGTGTTTCAGTAGTAATTTTAATGCATAAAAAGGTACATTATATACGTTTTACTAAGACAGACATTTGACTGATTGAGTAAGAAGTGCTGGAAAGCAATGATATTAATCTAGAGAATAAGGTGAACTTGATCCAGGCCATGGTCTTCACAATTATTTGCTATGCATCAGAGAGCTGGACAATGACCAAGGAAGACAGAAGAAAAATAGATGCCTTAGGGTTGTAGTGCTGGAGAAGAGTCTTGAACATACCATGGACTGCCAAGAGAACAAAAACGTCTGACCTAGAGAGGGTGAAGCCAGGTTGCTCCTTAGAGGAAAGTATTTTGAAACTCCATCTAACATACTTAAGGCATGTTACCAGGAAGGACCAGTCCTTGGAAAAGGACATCATGCTTGGAAGGGTGGAGGGACAGCACAGGAGAGGAAGACCCAAATGAGATGGATTGACGCGGAAACTGGGATAATGGGTGTTGGTGTGTTTGAGGCAGTGAGTGTGGCTCAGGATAAAGCAGAGTTCAGAGTTACTGTTCGTAACACATATGTTCACATAACATAATCGCATAACAACAATATCCTGATTTACATATACATTCAACATAAAGACAGATTTAGGAATGGAATTAATTTGTAATCTGGGAATTGCCTGTACTTTTGAATAAGTGACATCAACTAGGAAAAGAGAGCACCACATATTCTGCCTTCTTTCTCTGAGAACTTACTAATTGTGTTGTGTACACAATGATTGTTGTTGTTGTTATGTACCGTCGAGTCGTTTGCGACTCATAGCGACCCGATGTACAACAGCCTTAAACCCTGCTCTATCGTGTGCCAATCACATGGCCTCTGACATACCTATCCCGATTACCCCAGTCACTGAATTAATCCACCTCGTAGAGGGTCTTCCCCTCCTGCGCTGTCCCTCCACCCTCCCAAGAATGATGTCCCTCTCCAAGGACCTGTCTGTCCTTAAAACATGTCCAAAGTATGTCAGACGAAGCCCCAGAATCCTTGCCTCCAAGGAGTAGCCTGGTTTAACCCTCTCCAGGATGAATCTGTTTGTTTTCTTGGCAGTCCAGGGTACATTCAATACTTTTCTCCAGCACCACAGCTCAAAGGCATCAATTCTCCTTCTATCCTCCCTAGTCATTGTCCAACTCTCTGATGCATAACAACTGATTGCAAAGACCATGGCCTGTATCAGGTGCACCTTAGTCTCCAGAGAGACACCATTGCTCTTGTACTTTAGAGAGGTCCCTAACAGCAGACTTGCCCATCGCGATACGTTTTTTGATTTCCTGACTGCTGGTGCCAAGAGTGTTGACCGTGGAGCCAAGCAAACTGAAGCTGTGAACAATCTCAATCTCTTTGCCATCCATCCTGATGCTACCAATTGGTCCAGTGGTGAGAATCTTTGTCTTCTTGACATTGAGCCCCAGTCCATACTGAAGGCTGCCGTCCTTGACCTTCTGCAGCAAGTGCATGAGGTCCACCTCAGTTTCAGTGAGCAGGGTTGTGTCAATCTGTATAACGCAGATTGTTAATAGATCTTCCACCAATCCTGACGCCACACTTCTCATAGAGTCCAGCCTCTCGGATAATCTGCTCTGCATACAGGTTGAAAAGGTATGGAGATAGGACACATCCCTGTACACAATGATAGCATTTTGAAAAGTTTAGGTTTCACTGATATACTATTTTATCTCACATGAGTCTTCATTATTCCAGTCCTTTGAGGCTTAAGAGTTCATTGAGATAATGCCAGCTTTACTCTTTTCTACTTCAGCGGATCAACGTCACGCAGTTGTTGAAGTAGACAATGTCTCACTATCTGCTAAACTGGTTGATTTGCCTTGTGTTATTGGAAGCCTGAAGACTCTTGATAAAAAAACCTTTTACAAAACGGCAGATATTTCTCAGGTATGAACTAGTTTTCTTAATCTACTAGCTCCTATATCCTTCAAGGAATTTATTTTCCTCTCCCATTCTCTTCCTTTCAATGTTCCTTTTCATTTGATAACTGTCTACCTGCTATTTCTCCTTTTCAGATTGACAACACAGGAATAAAGTCATGTTCTGGTTTAGTTTTAGCCTTTCCTTTTCACTATTTTATCCAAATAGCTTGTAGGGTCCTCTCTTTGCTCTTCATAGGGACTTTAATGAATTGAAGAAAAAATATGAACCTTCTGCTCAAACTTTGCTGTTAACTTTGGAAATTTGAATTGGTTCTTTAAATTTGAATCCATCACCTCTCCTGTCGATTTCTTCTTTCCTTTCTAAATTAAAATGCCAGGATGTATGTTTTCAATACATTCCCTCTGCAATGGTAAACACTTTATCTGGGAAAAAGCCCTAAAACAACAAACCGAAGCCCACCTCAAAACCCAAATTTTTAAATTCAAATAAAGTGCTGGCTCACCAAAAGATCTGGAAAAGAAGAGGGAGGGAGGGACAGAGAAAGAGAGTGTGTGAAAGTGTATGAATATGTATGTGTGTGTTTAATACTTGGTTCTCAGGATTTTGGGGGGTAAGAATGAGCATGACTCCTTACCATAGCAAACTTCTTTGTTTTTGTTAAATATAGATGCTCATGTGCAGTGTTGAGGCTAATGCCCATTCTTCTCCTGAAGAACCAGTTGCTCCTACTGATTTTAAAGAAATCAAGAAAAATGAAAGGGAGAAACAGAAAAAACAAACCTGGAAACATGGCAGTAAGTCACTAATCCGTTGATCAATTTGGCTGATCACAATTAACCTACTAATTCCTGAATACTTGGCCTATAACTTAGAGGTTTGGCTCATTAAGCTTATAGAAACTCTTACAAGAAAGAATCATATCTTCAGGTTGTGTCTTATTAGCATACACATTATCCTTATTAAATATATATGTTTAATGTAAGACCATCTATATTTAACATGTCTTATTTGTTTTAGTTACTCCACCACTTAAGAATGTCAAAAAGAAAAGGTTCAGAAAGACAACCAAAAAGGTTAGTTTCATGGTATTTATGTTTCTTTGGATAGATTGGAAGAAGATTATTAATAGAAAGGAAGCTAGTCTGTTGTGGATTAATTTGCTCTTTCATTAATGTTCAATGAACATTTGTTGAAAAGTAATTAAATGGCAGGAACTGTGTACTGGTATTTGAGAATATAGCCAGTGAATAAAAACAGACCTGATTCTTGAGATTACAGGCTAGCATTTAAGAAGTTGCAAGTGTCATTAATTTGAAACCTCAGGATCTGATTTTAAAGGGAACCCATCCAGAACTTGATACTTGGTTGAAAATTGTGCTTCTTTTGACATGGACTTGTAGAACCTTGGGCAAACTACAGGAGTACTGTAACTTGTCTTTTTAACGTAATGTTTTTAAATTTTTGAGATAATGGTAGGTTCAAATGCAGTTTTTTGGGTTTTTTTTTCCTTTTTTTCAAATGCAGTTTTAAGAAATAACAGACACTATTTACATAGTAACATTTAAAACTGTTATCACTACTAGGAAATCAACATTGATAAATTCACCATTTTTTTCCATTGTGCACATGGATTTATTTCTGCACTTTTATTGCATGTATAAGTTTATGTGCCCATCACCTCGGTCAAGGTATTAAGCATTCCCATCATGCCAATCAATCTTTATGTTGCCCTTTTGTAACTACACCCATTTCCCTCCATTTTCCCACACGCAGTCCTTTCACCCCTGGTAATCACTGATACAATTACAGCTTCCTCAGCTCCACACTCAACACTTTTAACACCAGCAGTCAGAAAATAAAAAAGCTAATTGCATTAGGTAAATCTGCTGTCAGGGACCACTCCAGAGTGTCTAGAGACTAAAGTGCGCCTAATCCAGGCCATGGTCTTTGCAATTACTTGTTATGCTTCAGAGAGCTGGGCAATGACTAAGGATGACAGAAGAAGAATCAATACCTAAGAGTTGTGGTGCTGGAGACAAGTCTTGAACATACCATGGACTGCCAAGAAAACAAATAGGTCTGTTTAGAGAGGATGAAACCAAGTTTCTCCTTGGAGGCTGCCATTTTGAAGCTCTGTCTCACTTACTTTGGGTATGTAGTCAGGAGAGACCAGTCCTTGGAGAAGGACATCATGCTCAGAAGGGTGGAGGGACAGCGCAAGAGAGGAAGACCCAGGATGAGATGGACTGATACAGTAACTGAGGCAATGTGGGGGTTAGTGTGTGAGATTTAGAAGGGTTCAGAGCTGCTGTACATAGGGTCACTATGGGTCGCAGGCGACTCGATGGCATATAACAACAATCACTGATAAGTTTCCCTCTATAATTTTGTCTTTTAAAGAGTATTATATAAGAGGAATGTACAGTCTGTAGTCTCTTGATATTGACTTCTTTAACTCATCATAATTCCCTTAAGATCCAGAAAAGTTGCATGCATCAGTAATACATTCCTTTTAATTGCTGAATAGTATTCTATGGTATGTGTGCATCATAGTCTGTTTCACTGGTCACTTGTTGATAAGCAACTGTACTGTTTCCTGGTTTTGATGACTGCAAATAAAGCCATTATGAACTGATTCATACAAAGACTTTTATGTGAACATAAATCTTCATTTGGGGTTAGTTCTGCCCTCCTCCCACTTCCTTATGTTTTGAGTGAAGGTCTACAGAGTAAATCAGTTGTCCACTAAACAGATCATACATACTTTGATTGACACCAAATTGTACAGTCCTTGCTTTGTAACTGCACTCATCCCACGTTGCCCCTATGTTTCCCATTTTTTTCCTCCTTCCTTTCTCTTCCCGGTTACTGTACATTGTCCTGGGCAAATGCTGCCCTTTTGATCTTATATTGTTCAGGAATGAGTTACCTCTCTGATGTTATTGCTCACTTTATAGGCTTCTCTATTGTTTGGCTGAAAATTGAGCCAGAAGGGTGAGTTCAGTTTCAGACTAGAAGGGGAATTAATGACCATCATTTCTAGGATTCCATTAGTGCATGTTTTTCAGAGTGCTTGTACCATTTTATAGTCCCACCAGGAATGCATGATTGATTTCCATTTCTCTCCATCCTCAGCAACATTTGGTGGTGATATTATTACTTTTTTTCCATTCTTATAAACATGTAGTGATCTCATAGTGGTTTTACTTGCATTTCCCTGGCAGCAGATAATGTTGAACATCTTTGCATGTGCTTGCTTACCAGCTGTATATTCACTGAAACATGATTTTTTGTTGTTTACCCCCTTTCTCTAAATAAATTGGTGTTTTTTATTATTGACTTTGAACTTTGTTCTTATATTCTAGGTACCAGTCTTTTGTCAGATACACAGCTTGCTAAGATTTTCTCTTAGTCTGTATATTGTCTTTTTATCTTCTTCACAGGATCTTTTTTTTTAATTTAGGTTGTTTATTTTTCATTTCAATGAACATCTACAGAGATTTTGGGAGTCCATTCATTCATTATAGCACCCTTCTCCCCGCACAAACCCCTCCCCCCTCCCCCCCTATTTGCTCCTCTCCTTGAAAAGCAAAAGAAAAACTCC